AGAAGAAGAAGACAGACAGACAAAATCCCTCCTATTGAGGTTGGTCAAGGAAGAAGTAGGAGGAAAAGAGTCCCAGGATCAGGCTAAAGAGTCAGAGATACACCCACCCCACTGTTAGGAGTACCACAAAGAAACAACTGAGCAGCCATAAGATACACACAGAGGACCTAGTGCAGGCCCTTGTAGGCCCCATATTTGCCATTTGAATCTCTGTGAGCCCATGTGAGCTCTGCTTAATTGGTTTGGTAGGACATGTTCTCCCAGTGTCCTCCATCCCTCTAACTCCTACATTGTACCCTCTATCTCTTCTGCACAGTTCCCAGATCTCAAAGTGGAGGGACCTTGTGGAGAACTCCATTTAAAACCCTCCAAATAATGTCTGACTGTGGGTCTGCACCCACTCCCTTCTACAGCCTGAGGAAGCCTCTGTAATGATGACTCGACAAGGCTCCCATTTATCAGTATAGCAGAATATCACTAGTAACCATTTCATTGATTTTTTATTAATGGAGAAGATTGCCTAGTATATACAGCAATATTCAGCATAAGTTGTCAAGTCACAGAAGAATAAATAGAAATTACCACAGAATGTTAACTTTTTTCATTGTCACTTAAAACCAACACATCAGCAGCTGAAGTGATGAATCTTGGATTCATACTTACCAGATAGGATCATTTTCTAAAGAATTACAAAGCAGAATGTGCACAGAGCTGTAAATTACCAGAAACTGTGTTAAACTACACAAGAAAATTGCAACCATATCAGACAACATTCTATGGGATGCTCTCTAACAAACACCACTTTATTAATTACCAGTGCCTCTGAATTACTTGAGTTTCTTTGTTTAAGTACCTCATGGAGGATTCAGTTATTAACCTTTACTTTTATTCACTTTGTCACTTTGAAGATAGTCTTTCTTTCTCTTCTTTTTAATGTTTATGATCATAATGAAATACATGGTAATAATAAAGTTCACTTTGATGCTTCTGAGGGAAGGATTATTGTTTACTCTCAGCATTGTGTCTAGGAAATAAATTCACAGATTAACTGGTAAAAAGCTATGCAGGCTAATTTCATGTCTCTGGATGTCAAATGAAAGGACAATGAATATCTAAACACCTACTGGTATCTAGAAACTTTTATTTTCTTTCCACAGGGTGATGCAGGAAGGTTGGGGGGATAAATAAATAAAAGAATAAATGTTTGGGAGAAAACTGAAAATGTCCCCAAGAGATGGATGTTAGACTCTGAGAAGTCTGTCTGATTGTGGGCCTTCAGTATCTACTCCTGTTATAACTTAATCCTCCCTGGTTAGTGGGACTCCCACGGAGAGGGTCACATGCTTCTTTTGGAGATTGTATTTTGTCTACCAGGAGGGGCTGAAAGAAAGATTTTTTTCCCACACTTGTTTTTCCCCAAGCACCTTTAATTTAGAAGAAGCAGAAACCAAGGTAGCATACTGGACAGTCATTTTCTGAACTCCACCTCTTTTTAAATATCTATAATCCTGTGGTATTTTACACAAATTCATGATGATATATAACCATCATTACTATTTCCAAAAAAATTTTCTTCTCTAAACCTGTTAAACAGTAACTTTTTTTCCTTCTTTGTGCCAATCTTGCCTATTTTTAGGACGTCTATACTTAGAATTATATTTTTCCCTTTCTGTCGGATTTCTTTCACTTCATGTAATATTTCATGCATTTTAATATTTATAACAACTTGACTTATTTCAATACTTCATTGTATTAAAATTGTATATTTTTCTACCTACCCCTCACTTTACAGATTTTTAAGTAGTGTCCATTTCTGTTTTTTATCTATCTTTGCCAAAGTCTACAAAGAGCAACAATGATCTGCTAGGAATATCCATGATTTTTATTTCTCAGTGACATAAGAACATTGCAGAATAAAGCTATTAATAAGAAGACCATGGTATCTAACACAATCAAACATAAAATATACACTTGGCATTTTATAGAAGATTACAGCTTTGCAAAGAAGGAAGAAAATAGGACTCATCACTAGGGGAAAAAATCAATCATTAGAAAGCAACCTGTTTCTGAGGAATTGGCTGACAATGACATTAAACAGTGTAACTGCAGCACATACTTTAAGAGATTGATAGAAATGAGGGAGACATGCAAAGTTCCCAATCAAGATTCTAGAAGTAGAAATTGTAGTGTCTGTTATGAGAAATAGCTGACTGTAAGTAGCAGTAGATTGGATTCTCCAGAAGGAAGAATTAATGAATGAAGCTGATATTCATAAGGAAACAGAGAGAAAATGAGGACAAGGTGTCAGTGAGCTGAGGATAACCCGAAATGGTCAAATATGCAAGAGGGGATTCCGATGTAAAATTTTAATATTTAAATTTCTTCAAGATAAGCTAGTTGTCCACAGTAATTCCAACATTCCACCATTCTTAGCCTTCTCTTCCTTAGACTGGTTTATTTTCCCAAGTGTTCCATAGGCTTCTCCACTGACAGCACCCACAGTCAGCCTGTCATAAAAATTCTCTTAGACTAAAGGTTTTGCCCAGGTCCTCTCCCTTCCAAAGGCATCTGGTGTCTAATGACTAGTTTATGCCTCCCTACAGCACTGTGATACAATATAGAAATTACTGCTTTCTTCTTTTTGTTTTGTTTTTTGTTTTTCGAGACAGGGTTTCTCTGTGTAGCTTTGTGCCTGTCCTGGCTCTTGCTCTGTAGACCAGGCTGGCCTCGAACTCACAGAGATCCACCTGGCTCTGCCTCACAAGTGCTGGGATAAAAGGCATGCACCACCACCGTCCGGCCTGTTTTCTTCTTTTTAATGAGTTCCTTTTATGCATCTCTCACTAGCACAGACAATATTTGAGATTTTGGTGAGTACACGGGAACTGGCAACAACTCTGACATGTTTTCTGGTCCCCTGATGCCTGTTTTTGACCTCCCAGCCTCTATGACAGCTATTAGAGCTCTAACCCTGTGACTCCATAGCTGGTCGCTAGGGGGCACTGTGGATCCAAGGAGTGAGCTGATCCAGAGCTCTGGTTTAGAGTCCACAGAAGGGTAGAACCAGAAGCAGTGCCATCTCAGTAGGCACAACATAGGGTACAGGTGATCAGTCATCTTTGCACATAACCTGGGCATCAATACAGGGATCCATAAACTATAGCCATGAACTGTAAGCTTGTCAATCTAAAACCTCCTGGAGCTAGAAGAGGAGGAAGCACCTGCCTCAGAGGGAAATATGAAAAGGATTTCCCCAAAGTCACCCATATTTATTCAGCACAGCCATCTCCCCTTCCACTAAGGAGGCTGAGCCCAAAGGGGTGGAAGGGCTGGGCCAGTAGACTATGCCCAAGGGTACAGAGAGCCTATGGGAGACAGCAAGATCATGACCTCAGAGCCTGACATCACAGACAATGAGATGAGGAAAAGGAGGAGCTGACTCCTGCTCTCACCAAGGAGAGCAGCACCCTGAGTAGAAAGATGTGTGACACTGCCCTCCCTGACTCTGCCTGGGGACCCACCCTGCTCTGCTGTGTTACTGTCTTTCTCCTGGGAACAAGTAAGTTCTGAGCCCTGGTGGGACTGCTCCTCACCTCCTTTACTGCTGCTGCTGCTGAATCCATCTACTCTTTCTATGGATGCTTACTCCTGTCTCCTGCCTCCCCAGGTTCAGCCAATCCTGGAGTCATCCAGTCTCCAAGACACATAATCAAAGTAAAGGGAGGAAGGTCCATTCTGAAATGTAGTCCCATCTCTGGACATGACACTGTGAGCTGGTACCAACAGACTCTGGGGCAGGAACTGAGGTTCCTCATTCAGCATTA